CTCTACTAAAAATACAAAAATTAGCTGGGTGTGGTGGTGTGCGCTTGTAGTCCCAGCTACTTAGGAGGCTGATGCAGGAGAATTGCGTGAACCCGGGAGGCAGAGGTTGCAGTGAGCCGAGATCATACCACTGCACTCCAGTCTGGCGACAGATGAAGACTACGTCTCAAAAAATACAAAAACAAAAACAAAACCATACTTATTTAGTCTCACTAGCTTTCCATGTGTTGGCATGCATGTCACTGCCAATAGTTTTGCAATTACAAGCAATGCTTCAATGAATAACCTTGTCCGTAGGTATTTTTATATTATTGGTGTATTTTCAGGGTATATTCCTGGAAGGAGACTGCTGGCTTTAAAAAGGCAAGAGTTGTCTTGATATTGCCAAAATTCTCTTTAGTAGGATTGTTCTAATTTACATTCCCACCAACCAAGTAGGAGCATGCCCGTTTCTCCACAAATTGCCAAAAGAATTTGTTGTCATATTTTAAAATCTGTGCCAGTGTGACAGGTGAAAAATGGCATGTCAGTGTTGTTTCAATTTGCACTTTTCTAATTATGAGTGAGTTTTAACATTTTCCTGTATGTTAGATAGGCATTATCTCTTTTTTGTGAATTTATTCCTGTTCTTACTCTGTTCTTCACTAGGGTTTTTTTTCCTTTATACCTTAATTTTTAGAAATTCTTACATATTTGTGTAACTAGCCCTTTGTGGCATATATTGTAAATATTTCTCCCAGTTGGTCAGGTGTCTTTTGACTTTGTTTATTGTATTGTACAATGTTTTCAATTTTTTATTTTTGTGTAGTCAAATTGTTTGATCTTTTATTGCCTCTGTATTTTGAGTAATGGTTGGAAAGCCTTTTCATACTCAGAGTTAAGGAAGAATTATCTCACTTTTTCTTCTAGTACTCTATGGTTTTATTTTTGTCTTCCTAGCTTATTTGTAGTTTATTTTTTTGTGTTGTGAGACATGGATCTGATTTTATTTTCCCAAATGACTACGTAATTGTTCCAGCACCATTTATTAAAAAATTTATCTTTACCCTAGCAATTTGAAACGCTACCTTTGTCATATACTTAAATTTCCATCTGTATGTGGGTTTAATTCTAGAGTTTCTGTATTCTACTGGCCTATCTGTCCATGCACTAGTACTGCATGATTTTAATTGTAGAGATTTTATAGTATGTCTTAATGTCTGAGGAGGTAGTAGTCCTCTGTGGGGTTTTTTTAGCCATTTTTTGTTTTTTGTTTTACATGTTATTGTACATTTTTTTTTTTTTTTTGGTCTGAACTTTAGTACCAGTTTGTCTACTTTCATAAAATCACTTATTGGTATTTTATTGTGATTGTGTTGAATTTGTACATTAACTTAGGGAGACCAATATTTGTATAATGTTCAGTCATCTTATTCAGTAATAGGAAATGTTGTTCTATTATTTGATGCCTTTTAAATCTCTTTTAGGATTGCTTAAAAAATTTCCTCTTAGATGTTTCGCACATTTTTTTTTAATTAAATGTATTCCTAAATTTTAACTTTTCTCTGTTTATACTGTCTACTCTCATTTCTTCTATTTGTTTGTGTATATAAAAGCTATCAATTTTCTATGTTAATTTTGTATTCTGCTACTTCACTGATTTCTTTGATTGGTTGATTCTTTGGGATTTTCCAGGTATCCTATCTTACCATCTGTGTTCTTTTCTAGTTGTATATACTGCATATTTTTAAGATTTTTAAAAATAAATTATTATTCTTTTGCATTTTACTTGCTATACAGTATGGGTGATAATCTGCTGCCTATGGTGTGGAAGATTCATTTCATTGACTTGTTAGGAAGTCCTAGATGGGCTGTCCTCTTCTAGCTTGAGAATGGGCAAATGACAGAATGGCAGTGTAAAAGTGACAACTGAGATAATAGGGAAGGAATGATGAAAATAAGAAAAAGTGTGTCTTAGACTGTATGAAGTTACAGATCTTATAGGGATCTAACAGGGAAAGATTGAAAAATGTCTTATAAATTTGAACAGTATGGTTCATGTATACCAGAGATTATATTTTTAAAGATATGCTAAATGGCATGAGAAGAGAAAAGGGTATCTATATATGAGAGTAGTATAGGGACTTATTCACTGGACTAGCAACTATTTAGCATACTCTAGGGACCACAGACATCTTGGAAAGCTGAATTTAAGTCACAGTCAAATGGAGATAAAACTGGATTATTGGGTAGGTTTTAGATATGGCTAGACATGTCTTCTTAAGAAGGCATTCCAGGTAGGAGTAGACTAAAACAAGGAGACATAATCAGGTTAATATCATGTTTAGGTAAATGCAAGCAATTTGAGTGAAATGAAACTGTATGTAGAAGGGTAAGTGGTTCATGGGAGCAGGCCATAGAGGTGCTTAGGGGGAAGGCAAAAGGTTTACTCTTTACCTTTCATATTGAAGGACTATTAAAGAATTCTCAACACAAGATTTGAGCATATGTGATCAAATATGGACTCAAGGACGTTTAACTTAAAAGTGGTTCTTTAGGGCCAGGCGTGGTGTCTCATGCCTGTAATCCCAGCACTTTGGGAGTCTGAGGAAGGTGAATCACCTGAGGTCAGGAGTTTAAGACCAGCCTGGCCAACATGGCCAAACTCTATCTCTACTAAAAATACAAAAATTATCCAGGTGTGTTGGCACACATCTGTAATCCCAGCTACTTGGGAGACTGAGGCAGGAGAATCACTTGGACCTGAGAGGCAGAGGTTGCAGTGAGCCAAGATCACACCACTGCAGTTCAGTCTGGGCAACACAGCAAGACTCTGTCTCAAAAAAGAAAGAAAAGAAAAGAAGAAAAGAAAAGAAAAGTGGTTCTTTAATGTCTCACAGAGGGAAAGACAGGACACAGGGAGAACAAGTAAGACATCAAGGACTTTGGCTTTTATTTCAAGTGGTTTTCCAAATTGTTCCTTGACTGAAATTGGTTTCAGTGTTTTTAGATTCCTGGGATATTTTCTTATCATACATGAGTGTTTTATTGCCATATCTTCTCTCAGTTTCTTTCATTCTTCCTGAATGCAGGATTGTGAGAGCCTGTGTTGCTTAGTTTAGGCTCTGGAGCCAATTGCCTGGTTTGAATCCTGGCTTTACCACTGACTAGCTCTGTGGGTTCAGGCAAATTATTTCACCTCTTATGGCATTCATTTTTTCTTTATGTATAATGAGAATAGTACTAGTACTAATTCTATAGAATTGTTATGAAGACTTATGAATTAGTGCACACAAAGCACTTAGAAATGGTACCTGGCACACAGTAAGAAATCAGAGGACCGTGTGCGGTGGCTCATGCCTATAATCCCAGCACTTCGGGAAGTCTAGGCAGGAGGTTCACTTGAGGCCAGGGGTTTGAGACCACCCTGAACATCATAGTGAGTCCTTGTATCTTCCCCTACAAAAAAATATGTGTTGTATATATATGTACCTGTGAAAGAAAGAAAGAAAAATAAGTCAGGAAAAGTTAGCTATTTAATTTTTAACAGTGCTTATTTTTATTATTCTCAACTTGTTCCTAGTTTACCAGTTAGTCACTTTGCAACCTTGGATAACTCTTTGTCAAATGACATTCTTTTAAATGAATACATTCATTCCTCAGTATCTGTGGGAGATTTACTTTAAGACCCTTCTTAAGCCCTTCTGCCACTAAGCTACCAAAATCCATAGATGCTCAGTCCCTGATACAAAATGGTATAGTATTTGCAATAACCTATGCACACCCTCCTGTATACTTGGAATCGTCTCTAGATTACTTATAATACTTCATAAAATGTAAATGCTATGTAAATATTTTTTATACTGTATTATTTAGGGAATAATGACAAGAAAAAATGGTCTGTGCATATTTAGTACAGACACTTTTTCCCCAGATATTTTGGATCCATAGTTGGTTGAATGCAGGGTAGTGGAGCCCACAGATACGGAGAGCCAGCTGTACCTTGAAGAAATATGTATAAACCCTTTAATTCAGCAGCTTTGGAAAACTGTTTTCCTGGTAACCTTGAATGTTTCTTTTTTACGTCCATGGATGTGATTTTTTTCTACTGAGCCTTGTTTGGTAGCTTCTCTCCACCACTTTCCTGTTTCTTTTGTGTTTATTGATGAGTTTCTACTAAAGCATTGAAAACCAGTAGACTATTATCATGGAAATTATCTCAGATTTGTTTTGTTGTTGAAAAGAGCTCTATGAAAATTACCTTCATTTTGGTTGCTGTGGTGCCAATAATATAAACATTCTATATTTATTAATTTATTTAATTCTCGCAGTAGTCCTCTTAGAAAGGTATGTCAACCCTTTATAGATGAGAAAAACAAAACATCAGTTGGTTATTTTTGTATCCTGGAAAATACTCCAAGAATGTGAATCTGTGGCTGGCACTAGGAAATGCTTTGTTCTGTATAGAAAGTGACCCTAAGTAGCCATCTTTCTGCATCAGAAATATGGAATGTGTTCTGTGATTTGCTTATTACTGCATTACAATTGGAGTTCTTTTGAATAGAATGTCAGCACTCTGTAGTTAAATGAGTAATATATAATGCCTACAGAAAAGTAATAGGTTGTAACGTCTTTGAATATTAGTTAAGGAATTTTATATAATTTATAATTGAAACACGTAGAATTTGGCTTCAGAGTTAGAAATGTTCTTAATGAACTGCCTTTTTAATTCACAGTGTTTCTTCTTTCTGTATTCACTGGGTCATAAATTGAAAAATCTGTTTTCAGCTGATACACAGCTTATGGGGTTACAAATTATCTTTTATAGTTGATTCTGTAATTAAGATGTGATTTCAGTTAGAATTATTAAAGACCTCACAAATCTATAAAGAAAAATCCAGACTTGTTTCTATAGTTGATTAATTATGCTATTTAATATTCTATTGACAGTAGTACTGGGATATGGAAAAATTGACTATAAATCTGTTGACATTTAGTACAACATACTTTATTTCCTCTAGCTGCAGCAAAAAATTATTCCTGATCAGGACCAACTGATGGCAATGGCACTAGATTGCATCTATAACTGTGAACGAAATGACCAACTCTCTCTCTGCTATGACATACTAGAATGTCTGCCAGAAAGAGGATATGGGTAAGAATCCATAGTATGCCAGTCTTCTTGTGTCTTTTTATTCTAACAGTTAAAGAAAAAATGTTGGTTCCCCAAATGTTTACCTTAGAGAATTTTGGTTATGTGAAAAAACATAATGAAGAAAATGAAATCATCTGCAGTCCTATTGCCTAGGATAAACTTTTCTTGTCCTACTAATAGATGGGAAGTTCAATATTTTGTTCTACTGTAATTATAATTAAATTCTGAATTTTGTCAAACATGGTAATTTTCTATTGAAAAGCAAAAATACTGCCACCGTCTCCACAAAAACTACTTTAAAAAAGTGAATAGGTAATAATTAACTTGAGTTTTTAATGAAGCATTGTTCATATTTATGGACTAATTGTGTTTATTCTATGAATTGTTTGTTTTTGGCCGTTGCCTATAGTAATTCCGTTAAGTAGTGACTATACCTAATATTTAACTATTTTTATGTTTAAATGGAAATGTATACAATATGCTTTTGGATTATTTAGTTGTATACAGGTCAAATTTGTTATCTTTGGAAGTCAGGTGACAATCATTCTTTTAATCCTGCTATTGAATTTAGTACATATGATAATTTTCATATCTGGAGACGTAAATAACAACACATGAAAGAGTTGTGAATACTGGCAGACCTGTTTCTAAGCTTTTGTAACTTTTAATCAAGTCACTTTACTTTTTTGGTCATTAGTTTCCTGATTTCGTAAAATCATATATTTAGACAAGGTGGCCTATTCTCTGTGCTCTCTTTCTCTTTGCTTTCCTTTTCTCTTCTCTCTCTTTTCTCCCTTTTCCTTTTTCCTTTAAGGAGATTTTGATTTCTTTTTTTTTTGTAGAGATGGAGACTTGCTCTGTCTCCCAGGCTGGAGTACGGTGAGGTGATCTTGGCTCACTACAACCTCTGCCTCCTGGGTTTAAGCGATTCTCCTGCCTCAGCCTCCCAAGTAGCTGGGACTACAGGTGCATGCTGCCATGCCTGGCTAATTTCTTTTGTATTTTAGTAGAGACAACAGAGACGGGGTTTCTCCATGTTGCACAGGCTGGTCTCGGAACTCCTGAGCTCAGGCAATCTGCCCGCCTTGGCCTCCCAAAGTGCTAGGATTACAGATGTGAGCCACTATGCCCGGCCTATTTTTTCTTTTTATTTTGGGAGGAGGCTCATATCTGACCAAAAGAAATTTATATTTCTTATGAAGCAAATGATAATTACCAATTTTGCAGTCTACTGTGAAATAATTATTCATGCAGTTATTAATGGTACTGAAATTAGGTGAAAGATTAATGAGAAAAGGTTATTTGCATGATACCAAAGTATTATTCCAGTGACTTTTTTTTTTTTTTTTAAATTTCAAAGTTGAGGTCTAACTGCCATCATCTTAACCAAGTCATGAAGGGTGGCATCACTTACAGTCAGACAGGCTGACCATGCATGCCCCCTGATGTGATGCAGTATGAAGCACCGGGGCTTACAGCATCCCTTAAGAAATATTTTTGCTAAAGTTGTTTACCCTGAGTCTAATCAGTCCTTTAGACTGAACTTCTAGTTTGCAGTTAATATGGGGAATAAAGAGACAGGTTAAATAACACCATGAAGGAAGCAGTAAGACAAGCACTGAATGTGGGATGTTCTACGTGTCAATTGGTTTTTTATTTTAAAAAGCTAGTGTCATTTAGGAAGACAAAATGTGGGGTCATGGAGAGTCACTGTTCTAAAATGAAGGAGGCCAAAGGGGAATGATCTTCCTTTAATTTTTAAATATAAATAATGTATGACCATAGTTAAAGTGAGGGAATTATAAGACTGGTATTAGTAATATCAGCTGATAAGCAGCTGTTTGCTGCCCACTTTTCCCATCCTTGGATGCCTGTCTTCAAAAAGGAAATACTTTCACTGATAGTTTTTTCTTCTAGGATAGCTATTATCCTGGGACTTTGTTTGCCTCTCTCTTGTGTGATATACTGCATTTCTTGGTTTTCCTATCTTCTTTCTTCATTTTTTCCTTATTTTGATGGATAATACTGTGAAATAGCTTCCTCTCAAAGATTACCTGAGAGGTATTTTTTTTTTAAAAAAAACTGTCACATATTAGGAAATTACCATAATTGCACACTTAAACACTTGGTAGAAGGTTTAATTGTATACGGAATCATGGAATCCTTATCTTGTGAATTTTGAAGGTATTACTCTTTTCTTTCCACTATCCTTGAGAAGTTCAGTGGCATTCTGAATAATACCTATTTAAATATGGATTTTTTTTTTGAATTTTTTTTTCCCCATTTATTTTATTGCATTTTAGGTTTTGGGGTACATGTGAAGAACATGCAAAATTGTTGCATAGGTACACACGTGGCAGTGTGTTTGCTGCCTTCCTCCCCATCACCTACATCTGGCATTTCTCCCCTTGCTATCTCTCCCCAGCTCCCCACCCCCCGCGTCCCTCCCCTATGTCCCCCCAACTGACCCCAGTGTGTAGTGCTCCCCTCCCTGCGTCCATGTGTTCTCATTGTTCAACACGCGCCTATGAATGAGAACATGCGGTGTTTGATCTTCTGCTCTTCTGTCAGTTTGCTGAGAATGATGGTTTCCAGGTTCATCCATGTCCCTACAAAGGACCCAAACTCATCGTTTTTGATGGCTGCATACTATTCCATGGTGTATACGTGCTACATTTTCCCTATCCAGTCTATCGTCGATGGGCATTTGGGTTGGTTCCAGGTCTTTGTTATTGTAAACAGTGCTGCAATGAACATTCGTGTGCACGTGTCCTTATAGTAGAACGATTTGTAATCCTTTGGATATATACCCAGTAATGGGATTGCTGGGTCAAATGGAATTTCTGTTTCTAGGTCCTTGAGGAATCACCACACTGTCTTCCACAATGGTTGAACTAATTTACACTCCCACCAACAGTGTAAAAGTGTTCCTATTTCTCCACATCCTCTCCAGCATCTGTTGTCTCCAGATTTTTTAACGATCGCCATTCTAACTGGCATGAGATGGTATCTGAATGTAGTTTTGATTTGCATTTCTCTGATGACCAGTGATGATGAGCATTTTTTCATATGTTTGTTGGCCTCATGTATATCTTCTTTTGTAAAGTGTCTGTTCATATCCTTTGCCCACTTTTGAATGGGCTTGTTAGTTTTTTTCTTGTAAATCTGTTTTAGTTCTTTGTAAATTCTGTATATCAGCCCTTTGTCAGATGGGTAAACTGCAAAAATTTTTTCCCATTCTGTTGGTTGCCGATTCACTCTAATGACTGTTTCTTTTGCTGTGCAGAAGCTGTGGAGTTTGATTAGGTCCCATTTGTCTATTTTGGCTTTTGTTGTCAATGCTTTTGGTGTTTTGGTCATGAAGTCCTTGCCTACACCTATGTCCTGAATGGTTTTGCCTAGATTTTCTTCTAGGGTTTTTATGGTGTTAGCTCTTATGTTTAAGTCTTTAATCCATCTGGAGTTAATTTTAGTGTCAGGTGTCAGGAAGGGGTCCAGTTTCTGCTTTCTGCACATGGCTAGCCAGCTTTCCCAACGCCATTTATTGAACAGGGAATCCTTTCCCCATTGCTTGTTTTTGTCTGGTTTGTCAAAGATCAGGTGGTTGTAGATATGTTGTGTTGCCTCCGAGGCCTCTGTTCTGTTCCATTGGTCTATATCTCTGTTTTGGTACCAGTACCATGCTGTTTTGATTACTGTAGCCTTGTAGTACAGTTTGAAGTCCGGTAGTGTGATGCCCCCCGCTTTGTTCTTTTTGCTTAGAATTGACTTGGCTATGCGGGCTCTCTTTTGGTTCCATATGAAGTTTAAGGTGGTTTTTTCCAGTTCTGCGAAGAAGGTCATTGGTAGCTTGATGGGGATAGCATTGAATCTGTAAATTACTTTGGGCAGTATGGCCATTTTCACGATATTGATCCTTCCTAACCATGAACATGGAATGTTTCTCCATCTGTTTGTGTCCTCTCTTATTTCATTGAGCAGTGGCTTGTAGTTCTCCTTGAAGAGGTCCTTTACATTCCTTTTAGTTGTATTCCTAGGTATTTTATTCTTTTTGTGGCAATTGTGAATGGAAGTTTGTTCTTGATTTGGCTGTCTTTAAGTCTGTTATTGGTGTATAGGAATGCATGTGATTTTTGCACATTGATTTTGTATCCTGAGACTTTGCTGAACTTGCTTATCAGTTTCAGGAGGTTTGGGGCTGACACGATGGGGTCTTCTAGATATACAATCATGTCATCTGCAAATAGAGACAGTTTGACTTCCTCCTTTCCTATTTGAATGCCCTTTATTTCTTTTTCTTGCCTGATTGCTCTGGCTAGAACTTCTAATACTATATTGAATAGCAGTGGTGAGAGAGGGCATCCTTGTCTGGTGCCACATTTCAAGGGGAATGCTTCCAGTTTTTGCCCATTCAGTATGATATTGGCTGTTGGTTTGTCATAAATAGCTTTTATTATTTTGAGATACATTCCATCAATACCTAGCTTATTGAGGGTTTTTAGCATAAAAGGCTGTTGAATTTTGTCAAAGGCCTTCTCTGCATCAATTGAGATAATCATGTGGTTTTTGTCTTTGGTTCTGTTTATGTGGTGAATTACGTTTATAGACTTGCGTATGTTGAACCAGCCTTGCATCCCCGGGATGAAGCCTACTTGATCATTGTGGATAAGCTTTTTGATGTGCTGTTGCAGTCGGCTTGTCAGTATTTTATTGAAGATTTTTGCATCTATGTTCATCATGGATATTGGCCTGAAGTTTTCTTTTCTTGTTGAGTCTCTGCAGGGTTTTGGAATCAGGATGATGTTGGTGTCATAAAATGATTTGGGAAGAATTCCCTCTTTTTGTATTGTTTGGAATAGTTTCATAAGGAATGGTACCAGCTCCTCTTTGTATGTCTGGTAGAATTCAGCTGAGAACCCATCTGGACCTGGGCTTTTTTTGGGTGGTAAACTCTTAGTTTCTGCCTCAACTTCAGACCTTGTTATGGGTCTGTTCAGGGT